GCTTCGTGTGTAACCAAAGATTGTTTAGATAGGTTTTTCTTTACCTTATCTTTCCGCAAACAGTCTTGTAAAATATGTATTGATCTTATCTATCAATATATATTTTAAATTTGAAAACATTGTGTTTGTATTCATCCCCCCCTTCTACAAATTTTTTCTTATCTTGTAGACCCTTTCGGGACCAACTAGTGGTATCAGAGCAGTGTTTTCTTTCTTTCCTTGTGTTTTGTTATTTCTCTGTATTAATTTATCTCTTCTTAAATAACTTACTGCTTTCAAATGGCTTTACATATTACAAACACACACACAAGATAAAAGCTATCTTGCCAAACCTCCTCGGTTTGTCCGTGACAAATTTTGTCTTTGGAAGAACCGGATGTCCCTCTTTCTGGAAGGTGTGGATCCTGAAATTCCACATTATATAGAAAATGGACCATATATTCCATTTGCTATTGTTCAGGCTGTTCCAGCAACAGCTACGACTGCCGCGATTCCTGAACGACATATTTCAAAGCTTCCACATCAATGGAGCGATGAGGACAAGAAGAAAATAACTATAGACATGCGTGCTCGGTCTATAATAGCTATGTCTCTTCCTGATGAGATCTATCAGTCAGTGATGAAACTCAAATCTTCTAAATCTGTATGGGATACTCTATGTGTCCAATACGAAAGAACCTCTCAGGTTCAGGAGACTAGAAAGATCAATTTAGTAAGACAATATGAAAGCTTTCTCTGTGGAAAGTCCGAGACGCTGTCTGAAGTACATTAAAGATTTAACTGCCTTCTTATTGATCTTAGGACTGTCGGCAGAGAATATTCTAATTCTGAAACTTTGACTAAGTTTCTAGAATGCCTTCCTGAGTCTTGGAACAACTTTTCCATGTGTCTCAAGATGTCAAAGGACATGTCCTCTCTTTCTCTTTCGTCTTTATACAGGATTCTGCTTAACCATGAGCAATCTCGTCAACTGAAAAGAAATCTTGTAAAAGAATCCAGGGAAATGAAAAGCTCTCCTTTAGCTTTGATCTCTGAATCCCGTTCAGTTGAAACTTCTACTCCTTTTGTTTCTTCTCTACCTCCCGTGCTCATCATAGAGATTGACTTTTCTGAGGACAATCCAGAATCTGATTTATCAAATTTTGATGAGTCCCTGGCACTCCAAACTAAGTCTTTTAGGAGGTTTGCCAACAAGAGTAAATTCCGCAGATCTCCTCAGCTATCCCTAAGGGAGAAGCCAATGTCTGAAAGAATAGACAAGGCTTCAGCTGTCTGCTACAACTATCACCGGCGCGGACATTTTGCAGGTGAATGCAGATCCAAGAAGATTGCGATGCCATCTTCTAAAGCTCCTTCCTCGTTCAGGACCACAGATGATAAATACTTAAAACTGAAGGAGAAATATAAGAATATGAAGAACAACCAGCGAAAGGCTAAAGGCCTTATTGCTGAAGAGTATGACTGGGCTGAATCATCTGATGAATCATCTTCTGACGAGGAAGATAAAGCTTATGTCTGCTTGATGGCTATTGATGCTGACAAAGATTCTTCTAAAGCATCTACCTCTTCTGAGCCATCTTATGTTACTCAGGTATGTACCCTGAATGAACCCTCTTCTAGTCTTTCTGCACTAGATACGCTGAMGGTTGACCTTTACAATGCCCTCAATGGCAAATCTAAAGCTGAAATGCTTAACATTGACCTTCATGAGCAATTAAAGATTTGTCATTCTAAGATCAAAGAACTGAYCTCTGTTGAGGAAAATCTTAAGGATCAGGTTATTGAAAACCAGGCCATCACTGTTGAACGCGAGAAAGCTATCG